CTTGGTTGTTTTCTTGCAGATGTTGAAACGTCTGCAAGAAAACAACCAAGCTCAGAGAACCCCAAGGACTCCACAGTGGGAACATCTTCAGAAGGGACTCTTCTACAGATATAAGTAATTGGATAGATTCATAGAGAGAGAGGCAGTCCTGAAAACAATCAGGCCCTAAAGCATTTAAGGCTCTAACTGTAACACCAGTAGCTTAAATTATCCTCAATAAGCAACTGGTAGCCAGTGTGGTTTTAGTGCAGGATACTAATATAGCTCTGATTTCACCAGCACGGGCATCTGCTTTGAAGGGGAGGCAAATAATGGTGCATACATTATGATGCAAATGGCTTGAGTTACACATTTATGCCATATCTTATGATGCAATACAAAGTTGCATTTTTTGAATGATGTCATGATGCATGTATGATGATCCTTCTGACATCATTGTGGATTGTTCCCAGTACCACTGGTCAGCAGGAGTCAAGCTTAACTAAAGGAGATTTTATCAGTTTATCCTCGGTCAATTGACAGATTTATTATAGCAAAATACTGGAACTTTAAAGGACATCTTTCTTTGGATTAATGGTATTTAAAAGTGTGGGAAGTAGCTCTGACTGAAAAATTAATACAATAGCAGAGTCTTAAAATTATTTAGCTAAGGATGGTTTTACTCACAGTTTGTTTCCATTTTTTATTTATATTAACAAGTAATTCCTAATAAATTATCCCATCTACATAGATGTCTTTTTGGACAGAAACATTGGGTAAGGATGTTTAATTTTTTGTATCTCTCCATAAGGGACATATTCGTACTCCCAGTATTTACTCTGTTTAGGTTTTTATGTTCTTTATTATACCGTCTTTATTTTTAATATTTTATTGATACATTATTTAAATAAAAATAAACATTAAAAATACTGGAAAAAATTACAAAATCTAAAGAGCACAAAGTAGTAGAATGGTAGTATAAAAATAATAACTGTGCAAAGCCACTGAAACGTTATCAGTAAACGGCAGGAGAACAGATTAATCTTGACAGACTGTTAACCGATAAGAATAAAACAAAGTTGGCAGCTGGGCTGTTCATGTGCTTTTTAAAAACAAAGACTATATCTGCTGTATGGCACAGGGATCCAACAGGAGCTTTTATTCTACTCCCTGGTCCTAGACAGGGCCTAGAAAGCAAAGGACAGCATTCAGTGATTGCCTTGATGGAAAGTTGCTTTCACTATTTAAGGTCTTTACAGCATATCATCATTATATCACCTTGAGGTCTGTCAGACATGTATTCAGGGGGAGATAAGCACCTGCTTCTTCTTGTCCCTTCCCCCAGTTGACTTGCAGCAACTGAATTCCCCTTTGGATTTTTGTTTGCCTGCTGCATTTCTGTGCATCTGGGTCCAGGTCTGGAACCTGATGCAGAAGTTTCCATTGAGGAATCACATGCCCACAAGAAGCAGACCTGAATGTCCATAAGGCTGCCATGAGTTGAGGATTGAGAGAACTTTCTAGGCAAGTTCTGGAGGCAGCTCCACAACTGCCATTCCACATCTGGTTTTGCAGAATTTAAGACATGCATTACCGTGACCAGATTTGTTATCTCCAACAATAAGCAAAGCTGGTGCATTGCCATTTTCTGGCTCAAAACTACAGCTGTCATTTGGGCATTCAGAAAATGCTTGATTAAGAAACATCTTCAGATGGTCTTTGGGGTTCATGGACAAAGATTGTCAGCACTTAAAGATCGCTTTTAATGATGAAAGTTTGGAAATGTTTTTACAGCATAATAACTAAATAAACAGTTTTGTTTGATTCTATGCTCATGCCAGCATTTCCAAATCTATTATGTTTGATTTTGGATAACTAGGGCTTATGGGAATTGAAGTCCAACCCATCAGGAGGCAATTCATAGCAGATTAGAGAAACCTACTTGTCCAGCCTAGTTTCTGACTTCTTTCTGACTCACTCACAAGTCATTTCAGTCCACTTTTCCAGCTTCCTGTAGAAGTTTGTTATTGTTTTCAGGCCTTTTCCTTTGTTTGGAAATTATTTCGGGTAAAATGATCAATCTGGGATGAATCTCGTAACAAGCTTCCCACCACATCTCAGAATCTAAATGGAGACAAGCTTTTCCCAGAGTTTCTTTCCATTGTTGCAGGGAGGACTGGAGGAAAGAGGTGAAGGAAGGGAGGGGGCTGCATGGGTGAAGCAGCTGATCAAAGCCATGAGATGTGGCCTAATGAGTCACTGTCTGAGAAAGCCCTGGGCGAAAGCTGAGGCAGAAGGGAAAAGGGGCCACGTGGCCTTTGTAGGGCTGAATTTGACTTCACAGACGAGAAGGAAAACATCCTGATTTCACCCGCGTCTCTGTTTTTGCATACTTTGCCAGCCCGTTCTGTTGTGTGTGTTGCGGGTGTGTGTGAAGGACAGTGCTGAGTATTTCTATGCCTCCGTTATCTAAATTCTTGAGGTCTGTTGGACATGTATTAAGGGGGAGATAAGCACCTGCTTCTTCCTGTCCCTTCCCCCAGTTGACTTGCAGCAACTGAATTCCCCTAATGGAAGGCATGATGGGGAAGGATGGCTGGTAAATGAGTCAGACCCAATCGATGTGCCAGTGAGTCACCAGCTGGGTGGGTAACAGCAACAGGATTCCCGCTCTGCACATACAAAGGCTCTTTGATACTGCTTGCACAAGGTCACTGCCTCCCTTCTTGTCTCACAGCACTCCTCCCTCCTCATCACTTCTTGACTGCCCCATTCTTGCTGTTGGAGCCACCAAACTAGCAGAATGCTGGCAATCACAGTGAGTATGCCTACACTGTCCAAACTGCAGTTGATTAACAGATTGGGTACCATTCAAATGCACAAGTTCATGCAGATTAAATGCAGCCAGAAGGAAGACAGCCTTGCCTGACTACCTACTGCATCCCGCTCCCAAGCTGGCTACCCCCAAATTTTGTCAAACTGCAATACTTAGTATTCTTAGGGTGCTGGAAATTCTCAAGGTTGCAGTCCCAGCTTTTCTGGAGAGTATCACATGGGAAAGGTTGGCATGTATTATATTTTTAAAGGCTGCACTCCAGAAATTTTAAATGGACATCTATACTTACAACCAGTATCTGATTATGAACACTTGCATCATACAGATATACTCTTTGGGAAACCCTTGAGAATTCAAGACAATCTAATTTGACCGAGTATGGATTATGCCAAAGATTTATAAAATAGAGGAGGGGATGGAAACTGTAATGAGGAAGAGCTGCAGAACTTTCACCCAGGCCCCAAACTATTACACACCAAGTTGTTTTTCCTCTGAATGAATTTTTTAAAATTTTGTTTTGTTACTATTTTACAATTGCCATATCTTAGTAGGAAAAAAGCAGCTGAGAAACAGCAAATGCAATTTTAAAGTATGTGGTTTCATGGATCTTCTCCCCGAATCTTACAGATTCAAACTCTGTATTCAAACATAATTATTTATTTGATTTAAACCCAACCTTTCTACTTTAGCAAGTACTTGGGATGACAGGATATCTGTAGATACCATGTCCAAGCAACATTTCCAAACTATTCTTGTACGTGTGTCTCATGCAGAACTTCTAAGTGGATCAAAAGATGGAGGAGGCATTAAGCCATCTGTCTCCAGGCATAAATTTATTTTAGGTTATCAGCCCAGGATGCAGGAAAAACTGGTGGGAGAGAGCAATAAGGAGTATACGTTCTTTAAGTAAGCCTTCCTAAATTTGTTGTGGTGACTACTTTATATCTGACCAAGAAAGAAAAGGATGCTGATTTAAAAAAAAAAAAATGTGCAGATTAATCTAATGCAGTTCATCAAATTTGAACTGGATAGAATTTCAAATAGAGAATGTACCCAGACATTGGTCTAAAAGCAGAGCAGATGACTATCATCTTGCCATGTAGTTCAGAATCTGGATACTTTAACTAAGAATCGTGTCTGATTCTTGATTCCCTTGTTATTTCCACTGCAGCTTGAGGGGGGAACCCCCCCCAACTTTCTGCCCTATAACTGAGTATTTGACATTTTCTGTGTATAAGGCCTCACTGTGAGATCACCTATATTCATTATCAACCACCAGTGGAAGAATAAAATCATTGAATATTTGGGGCAATGGGGAATCTGCAGTTTTCCAGGCCTTGATTAAAGTTCTCAGCAGCCTCAGCTGACAGGCCAATGCTGAGGGTTGTTGGGAGTTGTAGTTCAGCAACATCTGCACAGACCCTCCAATTCTGTTTCTCAAATTGATCCTTTGGCTGCTAATGGAGATGTGGTAATACATTTTATTGGCCTTCTAGCCCAAGAACAGTAAACTATGAACCATGCACAGCAACTTCACTGCTATAGTTCCTCTCACATCAATTCTATTTCCAGTCACTAATGTTCAGTTATCCAGTTTGGTGAGGCACATACATAATCACATGGCACTTTGAATTCAAATGTTAAACAATGAACCAATTCTTCATTAGAGATCCTCAGTCTCTCCTTCCAAGTCTACAGTTCCCAACATTCCATGAGAAAAAGGAAGAATTATTATGCCTACCTCTCAGTTCATGCACTGCAGCCTCTCCAGCAAAATAATATTGTGATGTCCCAATGTAGATGCCCTACAAATTTTGTGGATGCTGTACAATTTTGAAAGCAACATGAGAAGGGGTTTGTTTTGTTTTTTTGCAAAAATATGTGAGCTGGTAGAAATGCTGTTGAGGCGAGCTTACACAGAGAGACGCAGGAGACATTGTATCTAGCCACTGGTGATCATACCACACCTTGTACCTGTGCCGCTCGCTCCCTGTCCTCATGCCTGATGGCACTGCTTTTCCTCAGCTTTGGCATCCCCCTGCTTGCTTTCTTGGCGCCTAGTTTCCTTGAATAATTAGATTTCTTGAGCTGGGAAGAAGCCCAACCTTAGCTGCAAGGGTTGGAGAAGGCAATGGGCAGGAAACTCCCTTTGACGGTGAGTCAGGAGGGTGGCGTTATATCCGATGGACTTAGGCTTGCAAGCACAATGTGGGAGGGAGAGAATTAATGAGCAAATTAAAGGTACATGGGGCCTCACCGTGCATAGAGGAGGAAGCAGTCCTTCATAATATCAGGATTCTATAGATGTTTATTACCCATCTGCCCTCAACAGGGTGCCAAGGCCAGCAGCCTAATGCTATCACGTTTTTTCTCAAGTGCCATGTATACTGTACAGAAGTGTTTTTCCATGCAAAACTAACCACATCATTGGGGCTATCCTGCTCAAGCAAGGGCTGATGGAGGAGGTGTTAAATTTCTTCCAGCATTTGGTCTGAAGATGGATTCTCATTGTAAAGGCTGAAGCTAAGCAAAGATCTCATCCCCTGTCCTTTTAGGTTTTTATTTGTTCACATGTCTTCCTTTTGTGTGGCTTTTCTGCATATCTACTAAATGTTCTGGACTGGCGGGGACAGTCATTCCATGGAAACCATCCATTGTAGGACCTTTTAACACAGAACCTAGTAGAGCCAAGCAGAGAGGATGTCTTAGCAGAAGCTTCTACTTGGGTTGGACCCATCTCCAGCTTCCTGGGAGCATCTTGGAAGAAAGAAAGAGAGCATCTCCTAGCTGGCAGGATATGCTCGGCTATTCATCTGAAAACTTCTGTTGGAGTTGTTGGGTCACTCAGGATAGAGTCCTTTATGAGGAAGGGAGGGAGGGAGGGAGGGAGGAGGGAGGGAGGGAGGGGATGAGGTGAC